TAAGTCTTTAAATATGTGTGATTTTAATAACATAACAAAAAGTTTGTTTTTATATGACTTAATTATAACTGAAAGGATATTGTAGAGGTTATAGTAGGAATAATTTTAAAAAGCATACAGTTAAATTTCTTCCTTTTTTTGGATAGGAAACTATTGTTTCTTTAAAATTAAATGACAAAGAATTCCCAGGAAAATGCTACGTATTCAAACTTTGGCTGCAGGAGAGCGTTAGACCATGAAATTGGCGAACCTCGGGAACGCATCCTAGCTAATGGGCGGCCCAAGCTCAGATGATCAAATAAATACTCATAGGATCAAAAGACAGGATTACAAGTTGTATAAATGAATCGTGACGAAGAAAAAATTCATTGTTTATGTGAAATAAATATATTTTTATATAGGGAAAAAAACGAAATAAAATTTAAAAACATAGGATTATAGGATATTAGAAAAAAATAAATAAAAATGAAAAACAAATTTGTGACGTCGTTAATAGAAATAGAATTTTCATGGACCATTAGTATGTGAAAAAAGGGTTTGAAAAAAATATATGTAAAATGATGTTAGTTTTTCATAATAAAATAAAAGTTAAGTTGCATTTGTTTGTTTTGATGCTATTTTTCTTTATATATATGTAAGTTTTACGATAATTATTAAATACAATAGGATAATGAAAATTTTATTATGCTACCATTACAAAGACTTCTAGTCCAGAGAAGAAATGACTTGAGAAAATGTCATAAATATTAAGTATTTTTGAAATAAGAATTTGAATGAAGCAAGTCTTGAATTTTAGAATTTTAATATTCAGTTTTCGCGTTCGAATTCGCGTTCTTTTTTTGCTGGTTGAGAATCCTTCTTTTTTGGATTGCTCCAGCCTAGATTCAGTATATTACAGAAGACTGATGCTAAGAGATATATATTAAGAGACGGTTGATGTATTTCTCCTTTGAAATAAACTTAAAAAGTCTGCAAATTGTATTTGTTATTCCGCAACCCTGAGCTACTTCGGTACTTTACCCTACTACTACCAATACTTTCAAAAGTTAGCATACTATTTTTGTTAGTTATTGACGATTCTTAATTCACTCAAATTATCATCTATTGGCAAAAAATATTTGTTTAAGTTATGACTTTTTTCAAGTAATAACTTCTCTTGATTAATTGATACGAGCGTTAGTTTATCGATAATGTTAATTAGTAAGTGCCATTTATATTAATTTTACACGAGGTTAGGATCTCTTAAACTACCTATAACAGTCAATCTTACAGCAACCGAATTTGTTTTGGTTGTAACCCACCGGCTTTAGCGATTTTTAACAGCCATTATAATTTGCCACGATCGCCCTTTAAGATATCAGGCGCCATAAAGCCAATGTCAAGATAGGAGTACTCGAAAAAACTATCAACAAAAACTATAAAGGCAAAAGCATCAGACGGATGGTGGATGAAAAAAAAATGGTTTATCGATACGGTCTAAAATAGCTTGAAGCTTATCACCGTTCGCAGTACGGTTTGTTTGAAATAGAGGGTTCGCTTGTCACACGATTTTAGATTTAGCACCGCTCGGTCCCACCTATTGTGAATTCCGTAGGACTGATATTTATTTGACAGCACCAGTGTCTGTAGAGAATGGAAAAATGGCGGAATGGGAAAATAAATTGCATTATGGATATAACTCATGGTTTGTTTTTGGCGGGGATCCGACAAACGTTATTGGTATTTAGGAGCATTCGCCTATTAGGGGTAATGTTTTTTTCTTTCTTTCTAGTAAAATATGAGGCTTGCGTCTTATGTAAAAATGAGTTGCCGACAGCGTTACCTTTATTCACGGTGGGAATTAATATCAATTTAAATAACGTTGAAATAGAAAAAAAATAAGGAGGACCCAAAACACGACATGTATAATTTTTAAAGTGATGGATGTTCTTAATTTTATCTTGAGAATTATTGCATTTAGACAGTTAATTATTCATATCTTTTTTTTTTTAATACCTAAGCATTAAAGTCGCGTTTAACTGACAATATAAACAGATTTTGATAGAATAAAAATCAATATTATTGCAATTATGGACGACTCTAGCTTTATAAAACATGCATATTCCACGCCATTTTGAATATAAAAATTATTTAAATATACTCATACTTAAAATATTTTAGAAAGGTATTTATTTATATTTCCTTTAATTTTGAGCCACTTGGAGTCTTTTGACTTTGATAAATCAGACCCATCAAACGCAATTAAACGCAGAGGCCAAATGGCCAAATGGTCTTATTTGAAAATATTCACCAATTTCTTGCAACAAGTCTTTGACATGTGACTTTGACTCTTTTAAAAGATATTGATTGAATGACATCCTTATATTTAATGTTAATTGGAATTATCTTATACCAGCGATACACTCAAATATTACTAACTTTAAGTTACTAACTTTCTATTATGTCAAAATTAGGCCACGGGTCTTCGTATGTCTGTACCGGTAGGATAGCTCTCTATTCAGCACTTTTGTTCATTTTAAAGGTGAACTCATGTTTTGAATAGGCAGCCTTTGCTGATCCTGAAAAATACGTGATAAAAGTTGATTAATACGTATCACTAGCTTTCCACAAGCAACTTTCACCTCTCTATTTCTCCCCCCTTAGAGGTTGAATTTTTAAAAACCATTTCTTAGTACTTACATCTTAAAAGGAATCCCCGTACCTAATTTCTAGTTTCTGGGTACAATAGTTTCGGCTGTGCGTTGATATACGTATAAGTCAGTTAGACTTTTAAATATATAGACAGATTTTCTAACCGAGAGATTTATGCAGTATGTTATCATTATAATGATAGTTTGCAAGTAATTAGACGACCGTTTTTGCCGCTCAATCCATTCTGTCTATTAGACAGGGACAGTCCTTTGGCTTCATGCCCTCTCTTAAATATGCTACTGTATTGATGAAACTGGAACTGGTTCATGTAGTATAACATTACGTCATGCAAATAGCTTTGACAGATCCACATCACATCTAGGGTTGCCGCTTTTTTTTGGAAATATTAGGTTATTCCTAACTATTCAATAATAATAAATTTGTAATAATATTTTTTAATTTCGATATAATTTTAATAATAATATAAAAATAAGGAAACATGTGGTTCGATTAAAAAAACATATTGATTACTTTTGTATAGAATTATGATGACGGTACCTAAGATAAATTCTTCTTCTTCTCTCATAAAAAATTAATTGTAGTTTTGCAATCTTATATGAACACAGGACTGTCATTTGTAGTTACCTATTTTAGTGATTTTGTGCACTAGACCTCTCAAAAACTATCTAGTAAGCTACCTTTGACAATTATAATATATTATTTAGGCGTAGTATGAATAGAATGCCGTTAATATTGTATTTAGTATAAGAATCTATCATTATAGATTCCACACTACTTTCTCAACATAAATTATGTGTGATGAGAAAATAAATTTATTATTATTATAATATTGTATATAACGGATTGACATCCATAGTTAAGGTATATGTCGCAGCCGTGTCTGACCTAGCTAATTTATATACCAAAATGTATATAAGAAATATATAAAGCATTGTTGTTACAAATTTTGCTAAAACTATAATTTAATTATATTATTTATTATTTGTTTTCCCGTAACATCACCCGTATAAATAATTTTAAAAATCGGTCAAGTAATTATGGAGCCTATTCATTGTAAACAAACAAACAATTTATTCCTCTAAAAAACTGATTTCTCAAAACATCATCATTATATAAACAGTAGGGTAAAAGCCGGATAGTAGTCACGCTTTTTAAAAAAGCTCTTTTATTAAAAATGTTTGCTAGTTAATTCTTTATTCAAAGTGTATTCTTGAACATCGTTTATTAATCTATCATAGTAGCCTATTTATTTAAATATAAATATTATTAGTTTTGAGTAAATCCTGTCTTATTTGACCTCTATTAAAGGGGATAGTTGCCTCCTATGGCGGATAGTAGCCTAGCGTTAAAACTATATCTTTTATTGTATTTCTTTTATTAGTAAACTAAATGCAAAAACACCAGGAAAAAATCTGACTGTGCTCTTTAAAACAAATTATAATTACAGTATTTTGCCCTAAGGCAACTATCCGCATAAGTCAATTGGGCTACTCTCCTTTTTGATACGGGTACTTGCCCTATTTATTTAAGAAATAATAAAATATATTTATTGATAAAAAGTAAAAAACAGTGAAATTTAAACCCAAATGTATGCAAAGACACAAAAAAATCTGAAATCGTAATCAGTAATAAAAATATTTAACAGATATTACTTATTAATATAATTCGCTCGTTAAAGCATCGCCACCGAAGTTTTCTGTGACACTGACAAAACAAGCGCATCTATTTCAACAGCTTATGCGACACCGAGACCTACGTGGGGGCACTTCCGTTTATAATCAAGTCCAAACACGATCAACAAGCCTAACGTAGTATATTCGAAACTGAGGCAAGTATCCTTCCGAGGCGTGCTATAATATATATTATAGTAAGCTATCACACACGGAGACGATGCTATAATATATATTTTGCCCTCACTCATTGATGGTCAGCCTAGCGTTTATATCCTACCATAATATGCAATAATATATATTAATATGCGTTAATATATTCGTTGGTGAAGTTATAGAAATATATATTATAGCAATGTGTGTGACGGGCTTTACCCTATATAGGAATTTAGTTGTTATATCTATCAACCTCCGTAGCCTTGTAGTTTGCACGCCAGTTTCAGGGTGTCGCCATAATATACTATACTCTATACTCATCTTAGAAGATGAATAATTTGATATTATCGAATATTTTTTTACCTTTTTAATCTACCTTGTGTTTTAAAATAAGCGACCTTATGAAAATAATGTTTCTTTTTACCCAACTACGGCGAAGCGAAAAGGAGAGTTATGATTTTGGCCGGTATGCATGTAAGAATGTTCATCTGATCCGTTATAACTACTCATCGTAATTGGACAAATGAGATATAATAGGAATGATGACTGGGTAAAAAAAATGCAATTCTATTTAGTCCGTCAGTCAGATAATAGAAAAATATTAGATACGTATTTTTTTTTTACTTCAATTTAACAAGAAATAGCTTAGATAACAGGCATTAAAGTTGAGGAGTGGGGGCTCGCTACGTCACAGTTGAGTAGAAAACGTACCCTAAAGTGACGTCATGCGAAATTTCAACTCAATGTAACGCCGTAATTTTATGATTACGAAAAAAATAAAAAAATACCTGTTTAATACTTTTTAACACTCTACCTGACGGACAAACAAACAAAAAATAGTCATCATCACTATTAGAAGCATCTTGCAAAATTGTGTAAATTAAATATTGTTACATACCTTATTTTTGAAAACGGTCTAAAAACAATAACGTTAGAAAAAGCTATCACATAAAATTATATTAATATTATAAACTTCAATACTTACATTACACTGCAGTAGATGTTAGATGGTTCCTTTTCACCAATATACACTTAACTTAAATATTAAAATTCTTATTAATATCTTATTAGCAAAACGCCTTTATATTTTGTCTGTAAGGTTTGTGCCCTTTGTTAATGTTGTGTTATTATTATAATATTTTTGTTCGGGTACATATTGTAATCTTTATTTTTTATTAATTATATTTTTGACAGATATTATTAATAATACCTGCCAAAAATCACATCGAAAATATTATATTGCAAAGTCATGCCAACGTGAATTGAGAGGTGTACCTTATTAAAGAGAGGCCTGTTATATTCAACGAATATCTGATATCATCCCTGGATAACAATAAAGCCTAGTAAAAGAGTACTTGTCTTTATTTGTACCACAATCTTTTCCCAAATATTTAATCAACCAATTGTATTCTTAAAATATAATATGCAGCTATTGCATTATTGTGGTCATACAATCTTTTGAAGAGCTTCAGTTCATAATGAAAAAGATATCATTATAGTTAATATTTTTATCATTACCTGTAGTTTTCATCATAAAAAAGAAAATTAATTTGTAATTAGTGAAGACCTACATTAACGTAGTGTACAGTTGTATTAAGACAAAAGAATCAATCTAATGATTCCGAACGATATTAGTAAGTTGAACGTTCTATTTCCCAACTTCCTTCATTTCTCCTAACTCAAAATAATGCAATGTAAAAACAGACATTTATAAAGGCCACTTAATAAAAAAAATAGAATAATGTCCAAACACAACTCGGTAGATAATTTTCATAATACTAAGTTGGAGAAAAAAAAAATCTCTCTAAACGCCAACAAAGCATTTAATATTCTTTGTTGTTGTTTGTTTCAATGTTCAATAAAGGATCAAATATCTGAAATATAGTCGTAAGTAAAATATTGTATGGATTTCTAGAAAATTCATGGCCAATCTATTTTAACTTACCGTTAAAATTACATTACATCGAAACTTTCATAGAGGATAATGCAAAGTGGTTTTAAGATGTTCCGAACTGCACTCAAAGAATAAAAGATAGTCTGCTAAAATCGTTAATATGCCAAAAATCTGCCAATAGTTTTAAACCTTATGCCTAGATTCGATCTTATTTAATAAAGATTGAATTATTTTCACAGTGTTATTAATAAACAAGGTTTAGCGTTAGAGTAAATTTACGCTGAAACTGCACTTAGTATTAGTCAAAATTCATATTATTAAACAGAGACTTAGCAAAGGTTAACCTAGAACGAGGTTCTACGGGAGTTATATTTACTCCAAGATGGTTTGCTTATTCTCTGTATAATATGAATTTGGACTAATACTAAAATTGCAATTTCAGCGAAAACTTACTCTGACGGCTATAAATTGTTTACTAATAACACTCTATATATTCATTTGAGTTGTAAGTATTGAAATGACAAAAATAGTCAAAAGCTTTTTCATACATTTGGAGCCGAAAGTTTACAGGGAATATAAATAATCGTCAATTGAAATTAACTCATACCTATGCTTATTTTATGAAAGTAAAAAAAAATGAAAAGAAAGTCATAATTTTATTAACTCTTTATTCTTTTGAATTTTTGAAATTAATATTACAATATTCAATGCGGGCTTCATATACAATCACCCAACTATTTGCTTATATACCACGACACGGTCACGATGAATCGTACTATATGACACTAAACCACAGAAACTAGACAATTTGTTCAAACATTATTATAACATCTCAAATTTACGAGAGTAAAATCTCGCGTTTAAAAGAGAAAAAAAAAATATACATAAAGCCATTTAATTGACAGATTTTGTATCCGAATGAAAACAGTTACATATGTGATAAAACAAAATTAAAAAAAGCTGTTTCCATTCTATTGTTTTTAGTACACGTAGAAGTAAGTTAGGTTAACAAAATAAGTCAAGCTGACTTACTGTTGACTATTTATTCTTTGAAATTTAGTTATCCCTGATGATAACTAAATTTTTATCTTTCTATAGTTTTTTAGAAGCTATCAAATTCAAATGACATACGGTGAATTGTACTAGCAATCTAGCAACATTTTTTTATTACACAAAACAATAAAATCGTTACGAATAAAAATATAAGAAATCTTATTTTTCTTATTACAAAGCGTCCCTAACTTAACCCAATATTCGTATAAACAAAAAATTCTAACAAAAATCTAGTCACTGTGACAAGTGCGCATACGACACAAACCTCATTACATAAATACGTTATAACATAAACAAAAAGAAAAATATATATATAAACAAAAAAAAATATATAATTGCGCCACATAAAACTTCCACGACTATTTACAATTACTTAACATTAAGACGATATTTTAATTACTATGTTCAAAAATATAGATATAGATACATATACATACATAGCTACATTTATATTTAAGATTAAAAAAAAATATTAATTCGCTATAAACTAAACAGAATGGAAGTCTTGTTATAGTTAACACCAACATGTGTTATAAAGATAACAATAAAATAAACTTAAAGTAATAACTGATGAACATTTTGAAGCTTACAAAATAATAATTAAAAAAAATAAATACTGCATTATGATTGGCTAGGTATATTATAATACCTAAGACGAAACACTATATGGCAAGATAACGTTTATAGAAGGGGAACGTACATAATCTACTTGGTAAATTGCTCATTGTTTCACGTGAATTACAAATTTTTACGATGCAAAAACAATATGGAGATACGTTGTAAATCATCGGACGCCAGTTAAATATACAATGTATATTTTACTATGTTACAAGAACCATATATCGTTAAAAACTTATCGATTAAAACGAACACGTTAAATGATAATAATTTTGCACTGTCCCAATAAAGTTAACGAAACCATAATTTTTGTTTAAATGAAAAACTGTCAACGGAAAATAATAACTACATAGTTTTTTTTTATTTGGAGAATTAACAATTTAATTCGTATACACAAATTGTGTCGTTATTTTTAATTTATAACATATCATCCTGAACGCATGTACTTTTATCGAAGCATCAACTAATAGTTTCCAGACTATAAGTTAAGAACGATACTAAAACGTAATTATATTTAAGCGTTTTTTATAATTCAAATACTCGGATTGTTTACTCTTATTTATTACAAGTGTCTACGATATTATAACTATGCATTATAATTTATAAAGCCTACTTATATCAAAGTTACTTAAGTACATTTTGTTCGATTTTTCATTCTCGATTTTATATTTTTTTAAAGTAAGATGGGATAAACTCTAATCTAAAGACAACCTTATTTTTTATATGTTATGATACGAAATGATTTGCGCGCTAACAAATGAGATATTAGTTCAGTGTTAACAAATTTGAAAAAAAAATAAGAAAACTGGTTTTGATTTATTAATTATCTGTTTTAAAATTTAAATAAATTCTCTTTTTATTTCCAATAAATATTTATATTAGTCGAGTTAGGTACTAAAAGAGTTGTTAAGACTGGATGACTTCTCTCTTATATAACTACCAAATGACTTAAATTTTCACTAATGATATCACGACATTGACTCTCTATTTTACCAATAATACAGTGGACAGATATTGAGATGTGATAATATCAAAATTAAGCGAAGACTCCAATTTAAATACAGTTATTCTATTAATTTATTTCTTTAATTCTACCCTGACATTAATTTACGTATAAAGGTGACTATAAACGCTAATTTTAGAATCCTAAAAGTTTGTTCTGTTGTTACGTATCGGATTGAGAAAATCAAAATTTGAATTAAATACAAATTTTGAATTATATGTATACGCGGCGCAGATTTTCAGTGTCAAATGCTAAGTGATATTTTGGCACAACACGGAATTTAAAATATTCTTAAAGCAGGAATTTTAAAAGGTGTCTCACGAAACATTTAGTTTAAGGACTTTTGTTATATAAAATAATATTAAAATGACTTTTACTAAACTTTAAAAAGAGCACGGTTATTGTAAACGAATGAATGATCGAAACGATAAAAAATTGCAATCGTTTTAATGTTTGCTTGTTTCACCACTGTTTGACCTACAGGGTTTAATTATTTATTTACCTATCAATGTTCTTAGCGATACATCATACAAAGTATACCTATTTATCTACGTATAATACACTTACACTAATCAACTTTAATATTACGTGTAAAATTTATATTTAGTCACATTATTGTAATTTATTATATGTATCATCGTTACGTATATAATTTTGAACATTAGATGACTTGGGATTGTGGACAACATACAGTCGCACGCCAATCAATCCTTCTTTGTTCTGTTCTTGAACTATTTCTTTAACTGGACATGGTATTCTTTTATTAGAATTATCGAAAAATACCATCTTATTTTAATAGTAAACTGCCCAAAGACATTAAATATAAAACATAATGACGACGATTTATGTATTCGCGATTGTACTTCCATACGTATTTTGTAAATTACTAGTTTAATTTTTTATGTAATTTCTGTGGGATTATATAAGCAGGATATTATTAATATTTTTATTTGAAGATAATTATTTTTAACGAAATGAAAAAATCCAAAATCATATAACAACCATAATTAACTATTGTAGTGAATCACAATCTGGTTAAAAAAGCTTTTCAAACTAAACGACGAAAATACAACAAATTTTACACTCATAAAAATTGTGACCGTACAAAACATAACCAGTCTACTAACAGTAGACAAATAATAAAATATACATCAAAATGTACATAATATAGTATCTATTAATTAAAAAAAATATATAACATAATGGATTATAGTAAGTGGTAGCAATAAATACTATGAGATTCACAGATTTTAAATCTTATCTAACAATACCGAAATTCACTCGGGTAATCTATGTAAACATTAGAGCGATCTAACGCTTTTGTAAATTTTAGTAAAATATTATTGCAAATAGGTGTGGGTTATGGCAACAAAATAAATGCTTTAAGCACATCACCAGCCTGTCCACCCAGCGGCACGAGCCATCTCCGCACTAAAGGAACATATAATTACAAATAAAGTCACTCGACGCCTCCACAACGAGGCGAACTAGAATCAGCCGCAAAACATAAAACTAGTGGATACGAAACGACTAACTGCGCGGGTCCTCATGGACGTAACACTTCCATTGTGTTCACACTATATGATACAGAATCAGTCAGGATTTTCCTAAGCGGTGGCAGTAGCACCTTACGTAGGGACTTTGTTCACTTTAAGAAGGTCATTGGACCCTTTGTCGATCGGCATCTTCATAGGGTCATGGTGGTGGGTGACGTGATGCCCGTGGTGCTGACCTTCCAGCTTCGCTTGCTTCTCTTGCTGTTGCTGCTTCATTCTGTCCTGTTCTTCTCGTTCTCTGCGCGCCTGTTCGTTTATCTCTTTTACAGCACGCAGTTCCTTCTTTAATTTCATACGTCGATTCTGGAACCATATCTTGATTTGCCTTTCTGTGAGGCAAAGCGCGTGTGCTATCTCTATCCTGCGTCGGCGTGTCAAATAATGGTTGAAATGGAATTCCTTTTCTAATTCTAGAGTCTGGAACCTCGTGTAGGTCTGTCGGCCTCGCCTTCGAGGGCAGCCGTTGGGTCCTGAAAAAGAAATACGAATAAATTAATTAGTATTCACATACTTATTATTTAAATACTACTCATAATCAATCAGTCTCGTCTTTCGAACAAATGTTGAACCAGACAAATAACAATTATTAATGTTATAGGTATTTTAAATCGATTTATTGCACTATATATTACAACCATGCTGCGTGCTTGAATTTGCGGTGTGAATTTGCTGGGCGAACCAAACATTAAAATTTCACTCTTATACCATCTTAGATTTTAATGGCTCGTTAATATTTTATTGCTGCTATAAAGTTAATTTTAGAGTTATCCGCTACTGAGAGCAACCTCAATGTAGATTAATTGCCTCTTTTATAAAGATTTAAATGAAAAACACAGCGGTTCAACTAATGTAAAACATTTCAAAGGACCCGCTAGAATGAGTAGAAACGTCGGAGTTACGATTGTATCTACAGTAAAAATAAGTGGAAACAATCTCTCCGAAGCAAAAAAGGAGTAACGAAAAGGGTTGAAAGCAAACGGTCCGCGAACTAACAATGGCATACGTTCTGTAAAAGAATCGCTAAAAAAACTCAGGGACGCGTAAAGAAGGGTTGCGTAACTTTCTAATGCTTTGTAAGGTGTCCTTCGGTCGTTTGCTTTCTTAGAATTCGTGAAAGTTGTGATAAAATTTATGGCTATCCAATGTTTATTCTTACGGTTCATCTAACGTTAATTGTTGGACTTTATCATATAAATTCTCACGTAATCCCCGTATAAGGCGGCTGTATATATAGATACGGCCGGTCCCCGACTGGTTTCGGAGTCAGCCAATAAATAAGGTAAGATAAATGGCGTTCCCATCGCGTATAAAATTGATAGCGGACCAAAGCCGAGGAATGTCCGCTCGTGTAGGCCGGGCCTTAGTTACCTGCGCTATAAGAATCGATGGACGTGGCAAATTAAAAATAAAATAGTATTTTGTCTCTTTTTGATATGTGATTACCGGTATAAGAGTCTATTTTTATCATTTTAGATACTTATTACTTCATTCCATTACCTAATAATTAATATACCTAGTTGAAAACCAAAAAATAAAAAGAATGGAAGATTATGTACATTAGGTACGTACCCAAATGACAAAAGTGTTTTTGACAATAATATTTTATTTAATATTATGAATTTATTACTTTTTATAATTTTATAGTGTTATTTTCAGTAACAGTTAAAAAAATCTATTCCACTTTGTCGTATAATAAATTTATATATCAAAAATTATGTTACAAACATTTCTAACCCTAAAAAGTCTCAATTCATAACTTACATGTCGTTATAAATTCAAATATCACAACAATTTTATGTCGTAAAATATGCAACAAAATAAATCATTAACGCACCCAAAAGTAGAATATCATATTTACATGAGCCATAAATTTACGAAACTGCGTTTTTACTGCCTTAATAACATTAACGGCCCAAGCTTATTTCAACAAAAACTTAAAATCTGTTTAAAATGTCATAAATAGAGAATAGAATAATTACCTAAGTGTGGTTAGAAGGGTTCATTTGGACCACCGCGCGTGAGCGAAAGAGACAACGAAAGCTTTTCTAATTTTAAAAAGCAAAGATGGAACCCAAAATACAATACATGCTTCTAAATAATGCTATTAAGTAGAAAGGTCGTAAGTGTTGTTTGATGACGCGTGAAAGGGATCCTTCTGGTTTATAGGGTAGAGTCCAAAATCTGTGTGATGAGGGTAAGTTCGACTATTTTTTTCGCCGGGATCGACGGCGATATGTTACCGAGGCAGGTTGGCCACCCTTCACGGTTGCCATGACAACGGGCATCGAAGCACCTCCCGTCAGCTGGCTTCCATTATTATCTGCAGTATTGTAGTCCGCGAGGAGGTTTGTTATATTGTGTACCTGTAGTTTCTTTTTAATGGGAACGGCCGACCGTTTCCCATGGTATGATAAAGATCTGATTGGAAACTGCGCATCGGATGCATCAAGTTGATTTGCATCAAGGTCTCTCTTTAATTAGTTGCTGTATGTCACCGTATAACTCATGATGCTATTACTAAAATATTCGATGCATTTATTTTATCTACCTCTTATTACTATAGAGATTAGGTGCATTAAAGATTTCATATTGTAACAACGGTATGGAACAGGAAACTGTAACTTAATATCGCTACGATTACAATTCAAATGCTTCGTCAGCCATCGTAATTCAACAACAACGGAGCTTTGTTTTGTTCCAAATTTAAATTGAATAAGATAAGCGGGATCATGTATTAATGCGTTAGAAAAAGAAGCCGACTAAAATACGTCGGCATAATATATCACGGAGTGCTCGGACCGAGTATTAATTAAGTTTATAACATTGTGAGACGACATAGGGACCACTATAAACAGTCTGCGACAGGTTCGGCATGTTACCTTGCCTCCCTTTTTCTTCGAAATAAATCTCACGGAATAAAACCGCTTTATATTTTATTTAACTTTGTATGAACCGGCCTTTGTGAAAACCAGTTTCATGTAGTTTGATTAATATTCGGTCGCTGAGGTTTTGTTTGGTAAGACTGTTATTTATAGTTGTCTAGAGGCTTGCGGTCCAAGCTGAATGCTCGAAGAAAGCAGTGGGATTAGTTGGCTTTACAGTATGAAAGTAGGGGGTCGCGAGCGCTAGGTGCTATTGACGCACACCTAATATAGATTTATATTCATTCTAGATGTCGGTATTTTTAAATAAACCATTTTTTTCCATATTAAAAAACTAGTAAGTTCTTTTATATTTATATAATTTGCAAATTTATTGAGCGTATTTTCCTTAAGGCGCTTAAAGAAAAATCACAAATTACAACACTTGAAATTAAATTACTTTAGATGTTAGGCCATAATATATTTACCAATTTTAAATCGTTGGTATAGACACTATATTCTTGCTTATACTTGAGTATAAGCTAGTTTAAAGAATAGAAAAGCTCTTATGTCAATAAGTGCAGAGTCAAAGAATATTTAAATAAGATTCAAGTTTTTATTCTAATTTCAAAATTCATTCAGTAAGTGAGTCATTTGACTCGTACGCGTTTTTCGGATTTGGTTAGTGCTTCGGTATGTTTAAAGCGTGTCCACGTTAGAATTATGCGGACGCACGCACACCGAGTAAAGACAAAAATCTCATATTAAAATTGTTTCGTATTAATTTAATATGGGGTACGGTCTCTTTATTATTCTACAACACGGAGCCCCGCCGTTTTACTAGCAATTATATTAACGCTCCAGTGTTTGTGGTACTCGTAAATTTAACGTTTTACCTAAAGATGATTATTTGATAAGGCTATTGAAAAGGTGGCCCAAATTACTTTCAAATTAAAAATTTTAAAAAGTCTTATGATGCTGATTTTGTTTTTAAATATAATATGTACTTCTTCCAACAGTTATTGTTACAGATTTACTGTTTATCGTCTATGTTCTTCTAGAAAACCGTCAGAACATAAAATATATACATACTTAGTTATGCTTTAGTACAAAGTCAATATTTCAGCGCAGGAGTCGGAAAGGCCTATTTTTGCTCGTTGCGAACGCCAGTTAAATCATCAATGTTGGTCTGTGTTGTGGTAAAGGACATTGCCTTGAATTCAGGGCTGGGCGATGCAAAGATAAACTATTACCGTGAAGTAATACTTAATTACAAAAAAAAACTTAATAATATTTTTTATGCTTTTGCAGGAAAAAAGAAATACGATCTAAATATAAATAAAAAAAATGATTTCTATTTTGATAATCAATTACAAAGTAGTTTTAACATTTTGTAAACATTTATTATAAAGAAAACAAATTTTAATAATAACAAATACATTCAATACGTATTGGGATATCGGACCTTTCCATAAAATGCAAATATAAGTAAAATTTTCGTTTTTACGTCCCCATGTTTCGTTTCAGAAAATAAATTATTCTGAAAGTCAATACATAAACTGTTGTTACAATACTACATACAAAATTTATGATTTCTTAATCAAAAGTTAATATATAATACATAAGTTTATGTATAGACTTTCAGAATAATTTATTTTCAAAAGAGTATTTATTTTAAAAGAGTATTAATCCTGAACACAAGCAACCTTATTTTCCTCAGTAAAGTAGCCCTACAGTAAAGAGTTGGAGCGAAACGATCTTTGATCCAGGATGGCGCGCCTCACTGACGTCACGATTTATTCATCCCAATCCCACTTCTACTCGCAAGAGAATAAAACAACACTTCAATATATTCTATTTAAAACAAGTTATTACTCTTTCGAAAATGGATTTGTTCCGTTCGATTTTCAAAATAAATGATAAAAACTCAATTCGAACGAACTCAACTCGAAGGTAAGTAGATTAAATGGAAACTTAACAAATCTATATATATAAAAATGAATCGCAAAATGTGTTGGTAAGCGCATAACTCAACAACGCCTCGACCAATTTGGCCAAATCTTTTTTTAAAATGTTCGTTGAAGTTCAAGGATGGTTTTTACGGCGAGAAAAATTATTGCTGGAAAAACCCTAAAAATAGCCCTTTTCTTTTTCCCATACAAATGATTTGTAACTAAAACGTAGTCAATTTGAGCTTTATTGCTATGGTATAAAGTTCATATTAAATTACAAGCACTCACTGTTGTCTAAGCAATGTAGGTGTGTTCCTAACGTCAAAGATCATATCTATCAAAACAATGTGCGTGTGTGCGTTGGAGCACAGAATACATAGTTGGAGGAGTTTAATGTCGCGTTCCGAAACTCGCGTTTCTTTTGTATTAGTTTCGGCACGCGAGATAAAATGCATCAGTTTCCACGTCATTACATGTATTGCCGGAACATTGATGAAAATACGCTCTGTAGTAGCAAAGCTGTTGGGTCCTAGATAGCTCATTGGTTAGAGCAGTCCCTGGATCGCGAATGGGTTCGAGTCCCATTCCGGGGTACAGGTAGATGGATTCTTCCAGCATTTTTCCTTGAGAATGTTTATATATTTTTTTAATTCGAAT